TCACACTTTACCAAATTTAATCCATTAATGTAATTTAAAATTTCCCTTTCAAATGCACTTTGAGTTTGAGTTTTAGAAAGGGTATGGAAAATTGTAGTTGAAATTTGCACTGAACCTTACACCACTGGTAAACCAGCATTTTATTTTGTGGCATTTTTCTAAATGCAGCCTGGCCTATTCCTATTTCTTTTCTGTATTCTGTCTTTTCTAGTATTGTCATCAGTGAAAGGGCATTGTAAATACATGTCAAGAATAGTGAAAAACCTGCAGTAAAGGGACTCTGTCGCTTGAAAAAACAGTGCTCGTATGCGTGCCGTGGATACAACTCCAAAACCCCGACATGGCCGAATCTAGTTTCTGTGGCATATAAGGACGTTACATTGAGCTCGAGAGGCTGTTAACCTCCAAAGGGTTTCACACAGCATACCTAAAAATATATATATATTTTTTTTTAATTCTTATCTTTTAAATATCTAAATTTTGCAGAACTTTGCCTGCTTCTCTCTCAATTTCAGTAACAGAAAACTATGCCTGTCCTAAGAAAAAGACTAGACAGGGCAGACTGAGCTTCCTCTTACAATGCTTCTAAATCTTTAACCCTTTATCAGGACAGACAGTGTACAAATCTAGTTTACAACTGATAGTAAGATCTGCCAGAACAGTACAGATAGAGTTCATTATCGTAGACCCTCCCCCAATGCATTCCAGAGAAAAGTTCAGTACAGAGAACAACCATACACTGCTCGATTCCTATTGGCTATTTCAATTTGCAATAGCCAATAGCAAACTAGCTATTGCACCCGCCCACTGCTGCTGTCAATAAGCAGAAGGGACCTGCAGTTCTCCATCAGGTGCCCTCTAGGGGTGGAGTAGAGGAGCAAAATACATCAATTTTATCTATGATATGTGAGTAGTATTCCCCTTTTTTTAATAAAGTCTAGTATCCTTTTAAAACCATCTGCACTACGAGTTTCCACTTTTTATTTTATTTGATGCATGGGCCATTCGGATGAACTGTCTGTTTCCAACTCCTGAGACTGCAAGAGAGTCTGTACCTGAGAGGAGGTAATCACTCGGAGGTATTCGGCATCAGGTGCTTCCTCTACCTGTTTTTAATTAGAGGAACAGCGCATACAGACCCTGGTGGGTCTCTGCTAAAGGTGAGGTGCATACCAGAAGATTTCTTTGTTGATGGTCACAGGAGACTAAGTTTATTCTACATCCAATGTTTTATCTTCTGTTTACTTAATGGACTATTGAAGATCCAGGATCATGGACATTTTTTAACCATTTATTATTTTCACTGGAGTGCAAGTTACACACATGCGTTTTTCTTGTCGGTATTCTTTGCACATTGCATCACATTGATTCACAGTTAATATTTAGTGCATTTGATTTTTCATTATGGATATTTTGTAGCAATTACTTTTACACTAAGGTGCATGTTATATACATGCGTTTCTTTTTTGTTTTGCACTTTTTACACATTGTATCACATTACTCCAAGGTCAGCATCTACTATATCTGACACTTTGCGGTCTCATTCACACAGCGCGGCTTTTACCATTAATTTCATACGTTATATCTGACCACACAGATTTCAGCTGCTGCTTAACTTGATTAGAGTAGTGGCGCGAGGTTTCACATCATTCACAGGTGCCCTCTAGTGATTGACAGCAGCAGAGGGCGGGTGCAATAGCTCGTTTGCTATTGGCTATTGCAAATTGAAAAAGCATTCCTATGGCGGAAATTTTTTTTTTTTGACGGCAGCAGAACCGCCCGCCCGTCACTGCTAGCTCTGCACAATCGTTTCCTTTTTTTCTACTTTTTTCTATTCTGCTCGGTGCCACAGAGGGACCGAGCAGAACAGCCGAGCCGAATGCCGCTCAGCAGCATTCGGCTATTTACTCACTGCTGTTCGGCATCTATGAGAATAGACTGAACAGCAGTGAGTAGCCTGCCGGAGGTTCGGCTTAGCCGATCCAGATGTTGGATCGGCTGAGTCGAACTCCTTCTGCACTTCGGGTCGGCCAAACATGCTGAGCATGCTGATCTGAAATCAGCCGTACAAACCTGAAGTGAATTGCCGAACATCGTTCACTTCACAGGTTGGTCGTTCACTCAGGCTGCCTTAGGCAGCTTAGTGAATAGACCCCTATATCTTTTCTGGACCTTTTCTGACTCTTCCTTCCCCTCCTTTTTTTTCTCTCTTTGGGACTTTGTGTTATTATGTTTTTCAATCCACACTAACATGGAAAGTATTATTTTTGGGCTGTGAGGACATTGGTAGTTTAACTTTGCGATTGTCTTCAACCTGATTTCGCTAAGTTGTCCATGATAGTCCTCTCCCTTAAGATGTATTACAGGACCACCACATGTTGTATGCTCTGTTACAACTGACGACCACCTGTATTTGCAGTGATGTTTGTAATGCATGGTCCCGTTGTTATGATTACTGATCTATTTTTGTATATTTACTAATTCAAAATCTAATAAAAACTTTGAAATAGAAAAAACAGTGCTCAATTCACTCTCTTCTAGAGCTGCAACCTTCAGCAGCATCTTCATCACTTTTCAGTGTGTTGGATGCCCACGTCCCCTGCAGCATAATGCAGTTCCATCGACTGGTACACATCAGTGATGCAGAGGCCAGTGGTTAGAACCACAGTGGATGGAGGGTAGGGGGGCACAGGCATCCAATGCACCCAAAAGCATGTCAGACATGAAAATGTTGCTCTTAAAGTCACTGTATCAATAGTAGTTAAACACGTACAAGTCTACCACAAAGACTTTGCAATATTAAAACTTTATAAGTAACAACTGTTGATTAAACAAGAACATTGTGCATCCTAAACACGATTCACTGGTTTCTGAAAGCATCTAGCATGCATACTTGTAGGCACCTTTTGCTTGCTTCTGTGTTGAACAGCTCCATACACAAGGCCTAATATGAGCAAACGTACACTAATAAGGACAATACCCCCTGAAACACTATTTACTGCTACTAGGAAATCCATTTCACTGGAGACATTTGCTGAATCGAGTTTACAAATACTGTATAGAGGAACTTCATAATAACCTCAACTGTGAGAACTATGAGGAAATGAAAATTAAGAAATGCTTCTGCCCGTTCTTACTTTTTTCTAGACACCATACTGCAGTGTGAATATAACAGATGCTTAAAAGAGGAGAGTGGCTGAAACTATGTGCCAGTACTAGAGAGGATGGGGTAAGGAGAATACTATATTTTCTCTTCCTCCTCCAAGCCCACACTGCTATCTTGCACGAAAGATATCATCAGTGGCCGGGTTCTCTTTCTGCATTTTTGCTGCAGCCCACAGATGACAGCAGCAGCAGACCAGGAAGTGGAATTACAGAGATAGTAAATTACCGAGATTAAGCTTTTATGTAACTAATGATTGTAAGATGTTTGGGTATCATCATGCAGAGCTGCTCGTATTAGGGATTTTTTGTGTTGGGGGCAAAGGTCTGATTTAAGTGCTTCCTAGGGTTGCCACCTGTCCAGGATTCACCCGGACAGTCCTGGTTTTGAATGCTGTGTCCGGGTTTCATGGCAGCTGAAACCCGGACACATGATGTCAGGCAGACAGGGGCAACCAAAATTAAGATAGGGGCTACTGGCCCCCCATTGAAAAATAGTCTCAACTGTGATATTTAGATATGAATGGGTGGAGCTATTTACATATGAATAAGGCGCGACTCATTCTCCCCAAAAAATTTCCGTGCGTCGCTAGAGTGTTCGGGTTTCACTGGAAGAAAAGGTGGCAACCCTAGTGCTTCCTGTCTGTGTTTTTTCTTCACTTTTACATCAAACACAAAGCAGAAGAGTTTCCCTCTGTGTCAGCAACTTCCAGCACACAAAAAAACATTCACCCCCCTGGCTAGTTATGAGACATTTTAGGTGAGCTTAGACCCACAGGCTATTCCAGCCCGGCCTACAAATCGCACCCCTACTTCCCCCAGGGGCGGTTGAAATGGCAGTTGCCCCAAAGGTACGCCAAAGGTATAAATAGCAGGGGGGACAGAGGGTACCAATTTGTGGGTGTAATTTCAATTTCCCACATTTGGTGGGAAACTGGAATTACACTTTAAGCTGACCCTACAGTATTAGATTTGTTTTGTTTAGCCTGTGTGCTGAAATAAATCTAACAGATTCCTCTGACCACACCAAATAGTGTGGATGGATGAATCTCCTTCTGCTGCTTTTGTATTCTAAAAGCTGACACCCACTGCTGTCAGAATACACAAACAGAAACTGTAGCTGATTGGCTGCAATAACTGTTCAGCCCAAAAAATTCGGCCCGGCTCCTTTGACAAAAAGTCGAATTTCAGCCGCTTCCTATGAGTTGGCTGAAATTCGTACAGTGTATGGCTAGCATTACAGTATACCCCAGGTGGGGGGAAGGGTGTGGGCACTAATCAACCCACTGCATACTGCTACACAGACCACCTACCACTTATATTATATAATGCCACAGTCTAAGAAGCAGGTAAACCCCATTCATGACTCTGCGTTGCACCCAAAGGGGCTGTTTATTACAGTGCATACATGAAACCAGCCATTTAAAGGCCACTATTGTTCAACTGCTTCTGAAAATGCTAGTTGATTGGCAGCTGGAATTCTAGTAAAAATGTTTTTTTTTTTTAGTTTGGAATAAAATAGGGAAGAATGTTTGTGTCCTGTTGGGCATATTTACCCTCACTTCCTGTCCCAGCGAAATAAAGGGAAATCTTTCCAACAGGGTCAGCAATTAAACAATCTTTCAATGCAGAAGGGGAAGGCTGGAACCTCCCCCATTGTAGGTTTTCTCACTTCCTGTACCAAAGATGTTTTTACACTTACAGGGCCACTGACAAAAATAATAACCGGACATAGTGTATTGCAATGGTTTCTGAGAATCATTCATTCCTTAGTCTCATGCCATTGTGTGCATAAAATGTTGGTGCTTTATAAACAAAGTTAATAGTAAATGGTTTACCTGGCTCAGCTGACTGGAGTATTCTGCCAGGCCAGGAATGGGGGCCTGCTCCACCTTTTCTATCATGGTGAACATCTGGTGAAGCTGTGATGCATACTCCTTGTCACTCTTGGCTCTCTGTATTATCCACTTTCTTAGTGATTCCATTAGTTTCAGCTCAGAGTCTTGTAGGCGCAGCAGTGCATTGTGCCCATTAGGACAACTGAACTCAGTGGCGAACCCCATAATTATATAGGCAAAGTTCACTTGTGAGTCACCTTCTGGGATTTTCTGTAACTGAGAAGTACAAAAAATGTTATTAAAAATGAGTCATACATATTAGTAGTATATTTAATAATGGCCATAGCATGTGTACTTCCTGAAACCTACAGAATACTTTGAATTTATTATGGATAAAAGGGTTTCATCTTCAACTTTTTGGACTGGCTCCTATGGATCATTCTACAAATACTTAACTTTATTTATGGCACACAAACATATTTCCAGAATCTGGATTCAAGCTATTCCTTGACCTACGAATCCTGGATAGTCCATGGCAATTCCACTCTGCCTTGCAATAAATGAATATATAATCATAGGGGGTGCCCTGCCAAATTTTCTGAAGAGTTGGGCTTGTTGGACAGATCACTCTGATTCATGTAACTCCCTAACTACAATGCCTTAGAGCAGTGGTTCTCAACCTGTGTGACCTCAGGGCCCACATTTGCCCTTGGTCATTAAGTCGCGACCCAAGTCGCACTGCAATAGAATGCACGTCATTAGGTACGAACTGTGGGTGTGAGGTGCATTTGGGGTACCATTCAAATGAATGGCAACGCAACACACCTCCCACACCAGAATGCATGGTAGGGGCCTCAAAAACACTGACAGACACACACAACCACAAACGCAATCTAACACACTCACAGACATTCTCATACACACTCCAAAAAATGTCTAATTTTTTTTTTTAAGGTCCACCTGTAAGCAATGCACGTATGGATGGAGCTCTCTCACGGTCATAGCCCCATCCCATCCCACCTCTCGCTGACATTCGGCCCTGGGCAACATATTTTGAATGCCTTCTTGGCGCAAGAACTGACAGTGCTGCGCTAGGGGTTAGGCTGAAGAGCTCCTCACCTAGAAAAGTGGAAAGGCATGCGTTGACCCACTGAAAACGGGGTCGCGACCCACTTTTAGGTCACGACCCACCAGTTGAAAACCAAGGCCTTAGAGCTACACCCAACCTCAGGGTTTAATATTTGGGAGGACCTGGATTTTCTCCCTCCCCCTCCCCAATTCCCCCCTTTTATTCCTATTTATTATCTTCCCCAATTATCTTTCCTTTAGTGAACTGATCTAGCTTTGATGTTCTTATCATGCATTGATAATACAGAATGATGCTGAATGTCTTGTTTATTCACTAAATTGCTATATTGAACCACATTTGTACACTGAAGTACTGTGTGACTTTGTATTTACTGCATTTCTTGGCTCTCATGCTCACATTCAGTACCTTAATAAAAAGTTAATTTGAACATGAAAAAATATAAATAGCAATCATTAGCAAAAGACGCAATAGGAAAGGTTTGTAAAATCTGATATGTTATGAAACAGGAACTCACTTTTCCTTACTCAAAATATATATTTTCTGGAAAGTTCTATATCTGTCACTACTGCAAAAAACATGACCACACCACCTGCTCTCATCAAGTACACTTGTCACAGACCTGGGCAATTCAAAATGGGCAAAAGTGAAAAATTTATTAGTAGAGGTTACTTTTAGTAAAAGCCACACGTCAAAACTATCAGTAGATCTAGAGATGCCGGAACCTTGGTGCCACATCTCCAAACTCCTAAGCCTCTGTATTGGTCCATTACTGCAGCAGTGGACAAATTAAAATGGAATTCAGGAGCCAGTCTGTCCAATCCACGATCCTGCAGGATTTTGTTTTTGAGCCAGCTCCATTGACAAAAACTAGAGAAAAACCATGAAAGTTGGGCACCGGCTGTAATTTTCATGGAGCATTAGCCATCTGGCTACCGAGAATCGTCCAGCCCTACTTTTCTGTATTGGGTGATATAACTGCCATTCAGGGAGGCTTAAGAGGTGGGAGGTTTGGGGTAAAGCTTGACATTTACAGGACAAGTTGAAATTTGCATATAACCTAAATATCTGCCAATGCATTTTGTACAACCCTTGGGCAATATTTGTTACCTACTCTGGCCTAACACCTCTGCTTACTACTACCTATGCTAGCATGGCAGCAAGTGCTGCATGCATGTTTTCTGGGTTGGGTAACATTCACCAACATGAACCTACTTTTAAATGGGAAATGTCACATTTGTCAGATTTTATGCAGACATCATTCTGCAGTGATGTCCTATGGAGACTTGTTGGCCATAACACTGAACCTGTACAACACCTACAGCTCACATAGTACACACACACTACATTGGTAAATACACATAGGCTGTGCTGTAGTTAATGATGCCATACCATGCTCACAAGAATGTCAAATATAAGGAGGGTCGGATCCTCCCTCCCAATGAGGGGTGAATTGAGACCACCTTACCCTACAGTTATACTCATTGTGAATTGATAGGATGAACTAGATCTTGAGCAGTTTGGATAGTTTATAATATAAAACATAAATCCTAAAATAAAATAGAATGAGAAGATAAGAAAACAGGTACACAGTTCTCTCTAGACATGCTGCTCCCGCATACTCCTCTGCTTGTAACCCTTGAAACTGATTGTGACCTCTGGTCATCTGGTTCCCTCATTCCATTCATCAGAATTTTTTTTTTAAAACCCACAAAGGCAGATTGCTTTGTCCAGTCCTAGCCTACATGTTTTTTGTTTTTTTTTGTAAGTAAAGAAAAATGTTTGCCACTACATCTCCCGCTTGCAATGCTACCTGCCTTGTCCACTAACTACATAGGCTGCATCTTCTGGCAAGAGGGCTGAGAGTATTTGACCCCCTGCCATGCTGAAAACAGCTTATATGCATTTCTGTACTAAGAAGGTGCTTTGAGAGTGGCCCAAAAATAGAGTACTCCTTCCAATGGTTCCCATAGGCTTTTATCAGTGAAAAGCAGCAGTGAGCAGAAGTAAATAATCTGAACCAGTACACTATGTGGAATTTTGAGCAACGCAAAAGTGTGAGCAGCAAAATGAGATACAGGGTGAGTAACTAATTGTAGGGTTTAGAAAAGGACAGTGCTAAGCATAGGGCAGCACCACTGCCCAGGATGGTGCCAATATCTATAGGCTTTGAGAAGACACTCTACAGTTGCCATTCTCCCCAACTCACAACACAAAATTCTTTGCATGACCTTTTACTTACTTTTCAATATTTTTCAACCTTCTACATGAATTTCCATCTGGCATTCATCCAAGAAAAAAACCCTCCATTGGAACATGCATGTCTAAGCAGTCAGTCCACTCAAAGATTAAAGCAGCTGTATTTATATAAATATTTCAGGTAAAGTTAGAGCTTGGCACTAATCCTCCCAACTAGCACAGCTCCTTGTTGGTAAGTGAGGACACCCACCAATAGCATGACCAATAAAGGCATAGGATGTGGATGAGCCAAGTCTGAACACTACACAATCAAGATTTGCATATAATTCAGCTGCCTTTATCTACTGAGCATTTTGAAATGCACTTTTACCTGAATGTACATTCTGGTGTAGGTTCAGTTTGAATTGCTGAGGTTTGTGATGTGTGAGCTTTAATAGAATGCTGTGGGTGGTTACCGCGTGAAGGAACACCTAACTTCTGTCTTTCAGCCACAAAACAGGTATGAAGTGAGACAGCTTCACAACAGTAACACATTGTTGCCTGCTTAGAAACACCCTAGATTGGTGTAAAAGTTAAAGCATCTCTAAAGACAAAACCTTTTTTTTCCTTTTCAAGAGATTTCCCTTTATCTCCTGTCCTATAGACAAAGCAGAAAGTGAGAGAAAATCTCTCCAAAACAAAGTAAATCTCCTCTAGCACAATTGTCACCAGAACCAGTGTTTCCACAAGAAGATTTCCCCTCGTTACCTGTTCTGGTGGCAACTGAGAATTTTAGATCTTCCCTCACATGCTTTATACTCTTTAAAGCTGGCCATACACCTATAGATTATCTGTAAACTTTCAATGGTCAGATGGAAAAAATGCAACAGATTCCTCCATCTACGCTAAACTGTGTGGATGGAGGAATCTACCACTGGGCCAAGCTTCAGTATCTTATTAGTCGGCCCCGCTGGCTCTCAAAATACCTGAACAATCTGATTGGATGCAGGCATTGTTCAGGTATTTTGAGAGCCAGTGGGGCCGACTAGCAAGATACTGAAGCTTGGCCCAGTGGGAGATTCCTCCATTCACACAGTTTAATGTAGATGGAAGAATCTGTTGCAATTTTTCCATCTGACCATAGAAAATCTGCAGATAATTTATAGGTGAATGGCAAACTTAATACTAACTTGATCTGGTAGGATTACAAAGAAACAATCTGTGGATGGCACAGACTAGAGAGAATGCTGTGTAACCTGCTTGGGAGGTTATTTTGACATCTAAATGCAGCATATCACCCACATGTTCAGAGGGAGGTTGGAATCTTTGCCTCCAGTCCAACGCCGGGTTTCGTATCACTCGTCAGAGACAACTGCAAGTATGTACAGTTCATTTATCTTCATGGTGGAGCAGAGATGAACACCTGGGACTTATACAGTATGTAATAAGGACAGCAACCAAGCTGTGATATGCAGTAACCCATAGAAACCATAATTTCCTTAAACCCATAGCAACCAATATTATTTCCTTGAACTCTGTGATAAGGAAATGTTGTCTAAATACATGAGGCGTGTACTTAAATCTTGGTGAGCTTTGTGTATTTATTCCAGATCTGCACAGTAATCCAGTGCAAAACTTTTCCAGGAGTTCCCTGTAATAAAGACTGGTCACTGCTGTTCACTCTCCTTGTGCAGGGTGACAGGTCTTGTCTCTGCCCCTTCCTCTAGTTTACTGGCAGGCAGCCTTTAGTGGATTGACTTGCTGGATCCCTCCCACAGCTCTGCTCTCTACAGATCTCTCTACTACATCCATTGAAGGATACATGTCCCAAAACCGAAATGGGGGGAGAGAGGAGAGGAGTAAGGGGGAGAAAAAAAAACCAAAACCACACAGCAACAAAGCAAATGTCCCATAGCTCCTAAACATGGTCTAACTTGTTGTCATACTGATAACACAAGCCAACAACCTATACAGGGCGTATATCCAACACCCAATTACAAAAAAAG